GAAAGGAACTGGCTTAAGAGATATTTGTAGAATCTTGGCGGCTTTTTTGGCCAAGAAATCTGCAGTTTCGTTACCTTGAAGTCCACAGTGCGCTGGTACCCATTGCATGGCGACATTTTTGTTGTGTTGGTCAAGCCTGTGAAGGGCTTGACGACAATGTAGAATGTCGGCAGATGCGGGGGCTTTGGAGGAAGCAATAGCTTGGAGTGCGGCTTTGGAGTCAGAGAGGATGACTACGTTATTAAATTTCTCAAGGTGATTCTGTAGTTGTGACAGAGCTACGCTTATTGCCGATACTTCTGCATCGAAGGCTGTTCTAGACGAACCAATCGGGGTGTAAAATGAAAAAAGGTTGCAGGAAACTCCGGCTCCTGCATTAGTGCCTTCAGCCAATCTTGAACCGTCTGTGAATATATGTAGCCATTCGTTCTCTGGGTACAGTAAGTGCAAAGTCTCCAGGGCGATAGATTTTAAGACTTGATCATTTGTGTCTCTCTTGGAAACATCTTGACACAGGTTTAAACTCAGTGAGTATCTCTCTTTTTCGATAGGGCACTGCGATCTAATAAGGTCTTCTGTTTTCCAAGTAATATTCAGTTGGTCTTTTATTTCAACGACTATTTGGAGGAAACCGTTCTGGGTCTTCAAAGTTCGACCAATATTTGTCAGTGGGGTGCTCCATAGGGAGAGGCAGTCTGGTAGTCTTAAAATTTTTTCCCACAAAATAACTGCCCTCTCTTCTATACTAGTCTTGATGTTCATGGGGTGGGTAGATAATAGGAGTGCATCAATCGGAGTTGTTTTAACGGCCCCTGTTATAAGTCGAAGGGCCTGATTGTGGAATCTTTCCAGCGAGTCAAGGACTTTTTCGCTGGTCACCGCCAGCGGCTCGCAGCAATAAGTCATGAGGGGGAGTATATATGATTTATATGTCATGTCGAGGGTATTTCTACAGCAGCCCCATTTTGATCCGGCTATTCTTTTCATTAGGGAAAGTCTCGAGGTGGCTCTCTCCAAAACTTTGGTCACGTGCTCTGTCCACGTCAGTTTTCGGTCGAATACAACACCTAAGTATGAAGAAGAGTCTGTATATAAAACGGGAACGTCCTCATACAATAGTTTTAGTTTGATAGGCTGATGTGTCAAGGAGAAGGTCTGGTAACATGTTTTTTCAAGGTTGACTTCCATGTTATTGATGTGGCACCATTTGTTTAATTCCTTTAATGCCTGATTAAGGGCTAGTTCTGATTGTCTCTCAACACTGTCTTTGGGAATTTCGGTCCAGATGACTAAGTCATCTGCGTAGAGAAGGCATTTGATACCGTTAATTTTCTGAAGGTCAAAAATAAGGTCATTTATGTAGATAACAGTAAGCAGCTGGTAACAGCTCCCTGGGGAAGACCTGTCTTGAGTATCTTGCAACGGGAAAAGCAGTTTTCATAGCGAACCTTACAGATTCTCTGGCTGAGAAAACTTCGAAACCAGTCAAACATTTTTGATTGAACACCTATTTTGGCAAGTTTCAGTAGAAGGTTTTCCCTACAAACCAAATCGTAAGCGGTTCTTAGGTCCACGAAAACAGCAGTGAGTACATGTTTTTTATCAAGAGCATCCTTTATATATTGGCTAAGGAGGGTGACATGCTGGTTAGGTGATCTGTACTGTCTAAATCCTGCCTGTTCTTCGGCTATGATGCTGTATGTTTCCGTGAACCATGTCAGTCTTTTTGCAATTATTTTTTCCATGGTTTTGATACTCGTTAATGAGATTGGCCTGTATCCTTTTAGGTTACCTTTATCTTTGCCCTTGTGTATAGGGATGATGATTGATTTGCACCATATTGAGGGGACGCTACCTATATCCCACACTAAATTAAAATTTTTTAGAATGATATGCGTTGCCTGAGTCCCCAAGTTAAGTAGAAATTCGGCAAATATCGCGTCTTCGCCTGGGGATTTTTTTGTCTTTAATCTGCTAATTGCAGTGAGGAGTTCATCGAAAGTAATGCCAGCAGAGAAAATTAGGTGGGGATTAAAGGGCTCTGAATTTAAGTTTGAGTTACCATTTAAACATTGTAGGACATATTGTTTTGATGTGGAGCTTATTGGAATGTGCTAAGGTAAGCTTTTTAAAGTACCTAATATGCATGTTTATTTTGTAATACTTTATGTATATTTTGGAATCTGATATAAAAAATTTCAGAATGCTAACGTCAGCTTATGTATTTGATTCAAATAAGTCTTAGTGGCTCAAACTTGAAATTGTGTAAAATATCACTTTAAATTTGTTTATCTTAAAACAATTGTTTTTTGATGAATTATTTTTCTTTATGAATTATCAATGATTAATTATTTAAAATGCATTTATGATCTCTTTATTTTATTTTATTTATTTGAGGTTTTTTAAATATAAAATTGCATTTAGATTAAGTGATCTTATCTTAAATGAACGACAGGTCAAAAGGTGGATCTTTAAATTGAAGGACAATTTGAATTTGTTATACGTAAAAGCTTTTGCTGAAAACATAAATATTAAAATTTCAACATTATTTTTTTCAGTAATTAAAGCAGTATTAATTCAGTTGATAAGCTCCTGCATTTGATGATGCATCTATTTCATGCATTTAATTTCAGACTTGTGTGTAATTCGGTTTATGTGTAACAGGGAAAAATGCAACGAAAGGATTAAAATCAATTTATCACTTTAAACAAATTCTTTTATCTTTTTGTATGATCTTGCACTTTATTCTATTTTACGTAGAATAATTTTATAAATTTTATTTAAAAAAAAACTGTTTAAATGACGAACATTTTGTTTATTAATATGTTTTAGTTATTCAATTTCAAGAATTCTTGAAATTTTTAATTACTTCTTAATTTAATTCTTAATTAAAGCATTAACAAAAACTGATTTGGTAATTCTGTTATCGTTTATATATTTTTAATTACTTTTCATACGATAGAACTGTTATTTGTTTTTATTAATTACGAAATAGAACCTTAATTTGAAATGGAATTATGCTAAATTCCATATCTTTCTAAGAGGGTATTTTTTGTATAGATATAATACAATTAGCTTTACTATATTCGTTAATTAATAAAATTTTTATTAAAGGTCTGCTCAACTCGTGTTGTCTATCTAGTAAGTAATGATAATGAATATCAAATTATTCCTTTATTTCATCATTAAGTACATCATGGATGCTGAATAGTTATTTAATAATGGAGGAATGAAATAGAGAATAAATAAGCATATCTATCGAGGTTTTAAAAAAACAAACTTTGAAGATACTCAGTAATAGATAGAAAGAATAGAAATTCTACAAGTTGTTTCCATTTTTAGCAAAGTATAATTATATATGTATGAGGAGAAACTTGAAAGAAATATATTACCCATTCAACGCTAAAAAAATAAACTATTCTATTTGTACAATATATATACACTTTGTTCAACACATTGATTCAATCCTTTGAGGTTTCAAAAACAATACCAGACGAAAAACGGAAAATTAAATTATATATATTTCTTCTCTAATAAATATTTATGTGTCTACATTAGAATAAAGAAGGTACAATAAGAGCTCCATTTTTTTTCTTCAAAATTGAAATTCCAATATAGAAGAACACCTAATGTGAATATTTAAACAATGCTTTAGAACATTATTTGTATTTATTATTCAATATGCATGTATATATAATGTATAAATCATCGAGATTAAGTCAGTATATCCTAATTCAAATATTGATTACGCTACACAAAGCAAGAAAGATAAAATTTACTTAATTCACAAGGGAAAAATAATTCTTTGTGTTTAGAATTCTAAGTTTTCCGTGTAAATAATTTTCTCCGTAACTCTTTTTAGAAAGCTTCAGTGTACTTTCTTAAACATACACTTTCAGTTTCTGTTCTTTTTCTCAACCTTTATCTCATTATTGTAAGATTCAAAACCTTAGTTCTTGGAAACTTAAATTAGGTTCATTAGTTATTACTTACTTTAAGAAGGTTTGTTTCATTTAAAAGAAATATGTCTTTTTTTATCAACGTAGCATTTCGAACGTGTTTTGTTAAAGAAACTTGTCCGTTAATTATTCTTCAAAAAATCTAATAAAAAGAACTATTTCATTAATTGTTTGTTGTTACGGAAAATATTTTTTGTACTTTAAGAACCAAATAACATTGTGAACGACAATGAAAAAAACCTAGAGTAATTTATTAAGATGGCCTCTGAGGATTTGTAGACTACTGAAAGTTTTTTTCTTTTTGCCATTCACCTTTTTATTGTAGCAGACATTTTATTTCTTTTATCGCTTCTTATCATCAACTTCTTATTACAAGAGACAGTTTTGGCAGCTGAAGTGCCTGATTGCATTTTTTTAGGTTAATTGCACATATTGTGATTGTGTTTTTATATTTTTTGATAAACAAAAAATTAGTTTTTATATTTTTAAAGTAATTTCTCTTTTTGCTTTAATGATGGCATTGGATTCAAATAAAACATTTTTATGCATATACTTTTATTTAAAACTAACTTCTTTAAAGGTATACAATTTTACCAAAAGTTTAAATCAATTTTCTACGAGCTGAAAACGTAGATCTTTATGGTTTTAGTTGCAATTTACGGTAAACAAATACATGTTAGTTATAAATTGATTGAGTTCAGAGTCGAAAGACATAATCGAATCAAATTATCAATACGGTGTTAGATATATAATTATAACATTGAACTTATAGAAAAAAAATACTGCTGTAATATTACGGAAAATATTTGGCAGCAAATTTACCAGAAAAAATTCTGTAAGATTGAAACAAAATATGTTGGCAAAAATTTTGTACAATGAAACCACACAGAAAATTTTAGTACACAACGAACTCAGTGGGAAAGGTGACGATAAAAGAAAAAAATATGTACTTTTGTCGTCAAAAAAATTGACGTTTAATGTGCCTCAGGAGTTCGTAGTTTGTGTTTCTCATTTCAACTGGAAACAAAGCAATATAGTGTAGTGCTTCAAACTAATCGAAAAGAGCGAGAGGTTTGTAGTTCAGCAATGTGAAGAGTTGTTGAAAAAAATGTTCGTTGGCCGTACACACTCTCATTTGATTCGTGAAAAAGAGGTAGCATAATAATAATACTTTTGGCGGTTTACCACTGAATCATTCAACGTAATCATTTGCTTCAAAGTTCAGGAGTGGAATGATATTATATTGAATGGAATGAGGAAGATTCTCAACCTTGTGTTATCAAACTTCAAGAATCTTATTACGTGCATCTTCGCAAATAGTAAAACGAATGTCAGTCATCACCACGAAATTTTCAGGCTGTACGAAATACTCATTCTTCATACTCATTCATGTAAGTATTGTCTGAATACTAATTGATAAATTTCTCGACCTTTGATGATTACAAATACCTCACCAAAACTATGAACTCATGTTGCCTAAATCATTAGCTTTGTACCATTTTTCAGCGTTCGTGAAGAGCTATTGAAATTTCGCTGAAATTATTGACTTAGATATTGGGAAGAAAGTTCACCAAGTTGTAAGTGAGTTTTCTAAGATCAATGATCATCACGAAGTATGTTACATTTAATTGGTTTAGGTGACTCAACTGAAATCTTTTGAAAGACAGATAATTCTAGACCTGTTAACTCAGGTGTGAATCAGTTAAGTCCGTGAACTTATGTATCTCGTCAGTATGCTGTAAGATGAAAAGTCAAATGATTACGGTAACGTCACGACTAATTATTTAGCAAAGAAATAAATATCACGTAGTACACTTAAAAAAGTACGTACTTCCGTCTACCCAGATGATATTCTTCTAGCTGTGATGATTGGTTTTCGACTTGCTGTTCGCCAAGATACACTGAATAAGACTTTTAATAATCGAAGTTTTTCATTCCATTTTGGAAAATTCATCATTCCATCTAATGAAGTGACATTTCACAGCTGAGCATTGAAGCGAATCATTACGTTACATGATTCAAAAGCAAACCATCTCAAGTATCTAGTGATATACAACCTACCCTAAGGCAAGTGCATTCAATGGGAAACAATAAAAAACTTTCATCTTTCTACAATACCGTGTGAACAATACTCTTTCATCACCTTTCAGTATCACGCGATCGCAGTTCTGCATCTGTCTTACATTAAAATTAAGGTTTTCAAGAAGCTTCAATAGCATAACAGTAAAAATTAAAAGAAAAAACATTTCTTGCAGAAAAAGCCTATGACAAAACACTCTTCTAAAAATTATTCGCTTTATTTCCTAATTCTTTTTAGCAGATAGCACTGAATATATCTAACAGCTATGTAAAAAAAAAATTAAAAAAAGTATAAAGCTTGAAAAACCATAAATTTGAACATTTTAAACTCTTTTAATGAATAAAGCTCACATTATGACATTTTTTCACCATCTCCCTTAAACCTAAAAAAGCATTCTAGAAAACAGAACGCTGAGCAAAGGAATACTGAAACCTAAATACTCGAACCCATTATCATTTTATCAGTAATCAAACTATCATAAATCTTTAGATCAGATAACAATTCCACGCATACATACCTCAAAACACAATGGAAAAAGAAGTTAGAGTTTTCTGGCGCCATCTGTCGGAGAGCTTTTGATTAAAATCACGAACTCTGGGATGAAACATGTATGACCTCTTACTGCGAGATGTTTTTCCCCGAATCTTTCCCCAATCGCTTTACAGTTATAAAATTCTGAAAACCACCAGTTTCATTTAAAGAAGGC